CAATTTTGTATGGATATTTGTATGTTTTATAATCTTTTACTATCAAAATGTATCACAAGCCTTTCCAACAAACCAATTACCTAATTCAGTAATTGTTTTTTTTTCTATTCCAAGCTACTACATATGCTTTCACAATTATAAAAAGTATCTTCATTTATAGATTTCTGTTTCTGCCATTGTATTGCATAATGATATAACTACAGTAATGGTTTTCCCTCAAGTGATTTTTCCCCCCATATAGATAGCTCTGAACAACCACAACGCATCACATCTATATCAAAGAGGGGAGGAGGAGGAAGATAAACAGTTCTAACAGCACCACTGGCATTATCCACTAGATGTCAGTCAAGCAGTTAACATCAGTTTACATTCTTAATCCTGGTGACACAAACAGGAAGTTCAGAAAAATCTATCCGTGATTCAGAATGAACATACTATACCACAAAGATGCCAAGAATTTTCCACAACGTGAGGAAAACCTTGTGACTCGGACCACTGTCTTACTCAAGAGGGACTGTGGCCATCAATGTAATACAGGCTTTTTCCAAGAAGCATGGTTAGTTGAGGACAACTGTGTGGAGGCATTTGAGGTGACTGTAATCAGTTCACGAGAAAGACTATGTCATTGTTTCAGAGAGTAATATTCTAGAAGACAGCAGAGAAGAAGGAAGCAGAATATTTCTTACACACATAACAGAAAATTTCAAAGAACACATACATAGGACCCCTCCCCTCAAAAAAGGTGATTATATTGAGAATCAAATAGTCCTGGAAAAATTGACTTAAAACAAGACATCTTGGTTTGTTGCTACCAAAATCCATGAATTCATTCTGTTCTTTTAGACACCTGAAAAACTCTTCTCAGTAAAATAGAATGTGAGATTTGTAAGATTTGTAAGGAAGTTTTTATAGGAAAATGTCATGCAAGGTACTTATGGAAATAAAATGACTGTTTATCTAGTTATCAGATTGTATAGTTCATTGTGTTCACTGTCACCATAGCCTGTGTTTGAACCCTTTGTAGTAAGACCAATCTCACATGAATGATATCAAGCATTCTACACAATTCCTAAATAAATGTGATAGGAAAAAAAGAAATGAGGCATATAAAGATATTTTAGAAAGTCTTGACTTGATCAAAATTTAAATTAAGAAACCAAATTAGACTGTCTCAGTTCTATAATTTTGCAATTGTATGATGCAGCATTTCTTCCTCTCACTGAAAAGTTTTTACAATGAGTAATCATAATGCATAAGTTGTTCTTAAAGATAGAAAAATGTAAATATGCATTATCAATTATATTATTCAACCATAACTCAGATCCATGACTTTCCCAGCGTAATGGTTTATAATTTTTTCCCTCTCATCCCTGATGCAAGTCAAAGATTTCCTTCCCAGAAGTCTCTTTTTTTAATGTCTTTCTACCATTTTTTCATTTATTTATCCATTTACTTAGTATGTATCTTTTGAGTACTATTTCTGTGATTGGAAATGTAAGGCCATAATAGTTTTTTGTTGTCGCAGTTGATGTTGGTGGTGGTGGTTTTTGTTTTGTTTGTTTTTTGTTACCCAGAATTCCCTTTACATTGTCTCTCCTGCCATTCCTCATTTCTCAACCCCAACTCATCATTTCTTCATCCCTACACTCCCACATCTTATAGCATCCTCTCTCTGAAGAAATAATAGTTTGGAGATCTAGCAAGATCAACCCGCTCTAAATTCTGCTGCAGATAATTCACAGTCAGGAGAAGGCTCACCACTATAGTGTATTTCCAATGATTATCAGCAGCGTATGATACTTTTAGTACTGTGAATACCACCAGTGATGAGGTCCACAACATGACACCAGAGCCGAGCATCAAAGAAGTAAATAGTCTGCATGTCTGCATGCTGAGAGGAATGAGAAGCGTACCAACAGGTATTGCTAATTTCAGTACCATCTAGGTTGTTTGCACACTATTTATAAAATCCTGTATTCATTCATCGCAAAAAACATCTGTCAGCATCTTCTACATAGTAGAAGTAAAGCTGTAAAGTAGGAAGATGCAGTCTGTTCTCTAAGAATCAGAAGTCTGATGCTGAATACTGATGAATTAAAGCACATGGGTTCTAAAGAGAAATTTTTTAAAATCACTGAGAGGGATGAGTAATTACAGTACAAAGCAGCAAGTAGTGTGGTCACTAATATAAATAAAACACAATGCTGTGCAGGGCAGACTGGATATTCTTCCAAATAAGATGCCTCACCTGCAGGGGGTCTTAGTCTTGTTAGTGGATCTCTTTGTTCAGATGCTATTTTGGATTCAGGGAACCTGGAGGAACCTAAGGAAAATATCACTCAGAAAACAGATTCTAGCCCACTGTTACTATTTTCAGTTTTGCTTCCTCAAAAACCTTATCAAAGTGTGTTGCCACTTGCAACACAGAAAAGAAAGATCTGAAATTAAAAGCCATCCCCTCCTCCCTTCGTACTGTCGATACTGAGCTCTCTAGGAAAGACTTCAAGTAACAAATCCTGGAAGAGCTCAAAGCCAATCCTGCTGTCACTTTGCACAACATAGACAAAATGACTAATAGACTGTTAGAAGGGAGAAGTTTATTAAACCTAGCAATTAGCTCTTTAAAGGGATGTGGTGAGACTAAATGACACAAAATACACAAGGTAATTTGAGCTTTTGCAAAGTAAAGACAGAGTTTTCTGGTTCAAAGGAATAAGCTCAAAAATTTAATGCACGCTTGCCTAGCACTTTAAATTTTTGTGGCTTTTACTTATTTTATAAAGCATGCAGGGCAGGTTCTGGTCTTTCTGCAATCTCTGTATCGAAGTCACAATGAGAGACAGATTGTACAAATGCATAGAAACACTCAGTGGTAAAGAGTAGGATGCTGTTGAAACTGGACCACGAGGTGATACCATCCCATTGCACTGGTGACTAGGAATGAGGTCAGTGCGAATGAGCACAACTTCGGCACCAATGTGACTTCCAGAGGGAGATGAAGGACTGACAAGAGTGAGTCAAGACTCACAGGGGTGCACTAACATGTCCAAGATCCCACAGCTAGGTTACTTCCAGCGCTCAGAGACTCAACATAGGAGTCCTCCAACGTACCACAGTTTTTTTTAGAGTTGTTAAAGCAGGGAAAGGGGTGTGTTGGTCTCCCTATGCTGCGGGCCTAGTTATACAGGAAAATTTCTAGATGCTGAGAAGACATTACCTGATTTAATTCTCACAACAATCCTATTGCTAGAGTCTAAGAAACTGAAACTCAAGATTTAAGTTAACTCACCCAGGGTTACCAAGTGCCAAGACTTGAATTTAGATCTGTCTTATTCACCTGATTATGCTTCTTTTATGATGATTATTTTTCTGCCCATAATATGTTTATTTCTTGTGTTTGTTACATAAGCATACAAGAAGGTTATTCCATTCTTGGGTTTTTTTGAGGCCTAATACACATTTTCTGAAATAGAATTGTGTTTGTTAGACGTTGAGGTATATAATGTCACTTCCTGCCAAGTTATCCAAAGGGATTTAGAGAAAATGTTAAAATACTTAATTTAAAAAGCAGAGGCAGTAAATCTGCCCTTTCAGTGAGCCAATACAAGCCATGGGGGGGCGCCTGGAGAAGAAAACAAGCCAATTTACCCTTCCTGTGAGTCAGTGGAAACCATACTGGGGCTGGGAGGAGAAACAAGATGCAAATTCACCCTTCTCATGAGACAACTGGCATGCAGGCTGAGAGACAAGAACCACGCTCCCCCAACCCCACACCCAGAAGCAACTGGCCGGTGCAGAGGACAGGCTGAGGACAGCACCTGAGGTACAAAAACAATCTAATGTTTGTATTGTTTGATTGACTTTGCAGGCCTAAAGCTGGTAGTCTAAACATCTGTTAAGAGGATAGCAATATGCAATATAGCAAATGGGGGGATTTCCTTCTGTCTTATTTTTGAAATCTAATGTTCTCACTGTGTTGTTTTGTTCTGTTTTACTGTTTTGTTTTATTCAATGTTCTGTTTTGATTGGTTTCATTCTGTTTTGTTTTATTTGATTTTATTATTTCACGGTATAGGCAGCAATTTTAAAGATAACAAGAGGTATTATGGTAGCCATTGTTGATTTCCTATTTTTTCTGAAGTCCCATATCACTTTCACTATTCTGTTTTGATTGGCTTTATTCTGTTTATTTTGTTTGGTTTTATTCCCTTTAAAATTAAAAATAAAAAACAAAGCCAACAGAGATGCAAGATATAACATGAATAAAAGTCAATAGAAAATTGAATAAACACTAAACACTGACCAACTGGATAATCCAAACTTTTAATTATCTCTAAATGAATTTATACTTTTGAAAGGTTAATTAAACATTTAGTTATTAATTTGGTCATGTCTGTTAATTTTATTAATTTTCCAAGGAAATATGAAACCGTATTTTTAATTTTAGGAGGTATTTTGTATGCGATAAAGTATTCACAAGGAAAATATTTTAGCAATATGTATTGTTATAGAAAAAGTACATGGTCAGGGATGGTGGCACAGGCCTGTAACCCCAGCACTTGGGAGGCTGAGGCAGGAGAATTGCTGCAAATTGGAGACCAGCCTGGGCTACAAAAGTGAGTTGAACACTAGTCTGAACTGCATAATGAAACCCTGTCTCAAAAAGAAAAGGTATATGGATATGAATTTTTCATAACACAAATTATATCTTTAGCAGTCTAAAGAAAAAGAATGCTGCTTCAGTTTTATTGGAAAATAAGACATAAAGGGAATATTTTCTGCTTTTCCCAATTTGCTTTCCATTGCCTTAAACTCCTGAAGGATCGGACATATGCTGGCATGGAAAATAATTAGAGTGCTCATTGTTAAAGGAGATTGTAAGATGAACCCTTTCAGCCCCCAAAATGCTCTATCCAAAAGCAAACAACCCAAGGATTGTTCCTTATCCGGAAAATTGTTCGTCTCTCGCCCCTCCCACTTCCTCAATATTCTGACCTTACCCCAGCTGGTCAGCCAGCCCCACAATCCATTAGACTCTACAGCAGAAATCAAATGCACACATGCCGGCGCTGTAATTCAATTCATCTTCTCCTTGGGTTTCCTCTGCTCTGTGCCAGGGTCATTTGTAAGGCCATCACTCACTCCAAACTGTTGCACCTGTGCTGCTATTGAAACACCCCTTCCTCCCTCGCGGCCTCCTTTGCCTTCTTCCTCTTGGGATCTCAGTCCTAATCACCTTTTTCCCAGGCACAAAAGCTCTTCCCCTGCCAGTGAGGAATGCTAGAATTCCCTCAAGCATTGGCAAGGAAATATTTAAATGTAATCAGAGGATCTTCCTTTGTTTTATTTTTTTTTTCTCCTAGGGAAATTAATCTCTCTAAGGTATTCGATGTATTCTTTTGCTCTTCCGTGAGGCAACACCATGCTACAGAGCTCAAGTGGTCACAGCTTGCAAAGGCTGAGTATTTTCTGCTCCTTTCTGCCCACACAGATGAGACGTGCCTGGTTTCCTCAAGCATTCCTAATTGAATCCTTTGCTTCATTTAAATTGTTTTAAACTTGGCTGTGAGAAACGCGGGGCGTCTATCCTTTCCCACCCCCACGGCAGGGTGAAGCAGAACTGCTGGCAGCTGTGACTCTGCCACTGCTGCTCCCTCCCAAACCACAGTTCCCTCGCTCCTGAAAAACTTCTCAGCTTAATTCTCCTCCGCCATTGCTAGTCTGTGGTCCTTTCAATGTTATATAATTCCTAGGAGAAAATCTAGCCTCTTTTACATAGCGTTAAAGCTTTAAAAGGACTGTCAAAATCAACCCAGTCTTAAAACCCTGCTCTAGCATATACTGCTGTGTGAACTTAGACAAATGACTTGACCTTTCTGCACTTCCGTTTCATTATTTATAAAGTGTGAGGATAATACCAGGGCTGCCGTGGTATCTAGCACAGTCTCTGGTACACACTAATATTAACTACAGTTGCAGTGATGTTTTAACATCTTGAAAATCTTGCTGGCCAAGGAAACATAGTACCTCTCAGGTCCAATCAACCCTAACTGCACTCAACGCATCCTCATTCCTTGTCTAATTCACACACCGAGGACAAATCCAGGCAAGTACAGCCTGCGCTGTCCCTCTATGATCTCAGCCCATGCACGCTGTTTCTTCTGCTCTACCTTCCTTTTCCACACCAACCCCAATAAGGGCCCTGGCCTTTCCATGCCACAGTGTTTCTCTTGCTCTTGCTTCCGCCTCCTGACCTTCACTAGGCTTCCACTGTGCCCCCAGGGAGCGCGCCAGCCCTCCCAGGCCCAGGGAACTCTGAGGAGTGACATAATGTTTTTCTTTTGATGACATTGAGCTCTCGGTGTTGTCACTCAAGCACACCTCAATAAATTAAATCCAGGTCTAAATTTAGTATTTAATGAATGCAAATGCCCCTTCTTCTCCTATCATCATTTAACAGTTACTGAGTGTCCACAGGGATCAAGAGGCAGGCAGGAGGAATGGCAGGACTGTCAAACAAAGCACAGACAGACCTGAGGACAGGCAGGGGTAAAGCTGGAGGGGCCAGCACTGCAGGCATAAGCACATGCGTGCATGCACACACATACACACACACCGAAACACACCTAGAGGGTCAGACCAGGAGGCCTTCAAGAACTTGCATTTGTAGTAAGTTCCCAGATGCTTCTGCTACCACCTAAAGGATGATTGTTTGATAACTGCAGCATTAGAGGATGTGAAAATGAGCAGCGGAAGCAAGCAACTGACAAGAGAGGGTAAACAAATACCCAGGTTGAACAGAAGCAAAGTTTTGGAGTTTGGGGAAAACATCATAATGCAGATGCCTGCTTCAGTAAAAGTGCCTTGATTCTTGGAGCAGAGCTCCTAAATAAAATACACTCTCCCAGTCTCAGGGTGCTTTTGCTGAAATTTTTATTTTGTGTCTAGATTTCTTTTGTATCTGAGCATTGTTTATTTCTTCTCAATTTGTTTTGTTTTTCTGTTCCTTTGTTTGCGTATTGAGCCAGTGTCAAAGCTAACAGTTTGCCCTGCAGAAGGGAATGACTCTGTGCCCTGCTTTGCTGAGAAGCAGTGCCAGTGACCACTCAAAGTCAGCATCTGCTGACCATCAGATTCACCACTGAAGGTGGCAGGGTGGTAGGAGCAGAGTCCACCCAGCCTTGGGACCTACCAGCTGCCCAGCTGCTGGGAGAGAGCAGCCAACAAGATGCCTCAGAAGCTCCGGGGCATTGTGGCACCTCATTTAATCCCCACCAGGAAGCTGTAAGGGAAATGTTACCATCTCTACTTCAGAGCTCAGACAGAGATGTCTTTTACCCATTTCCTCCAACAAAGAAGGGACCAGATCTAAGCTTGGATTTTTCAGATCTGACCCAAAAACCTTATTTCCTTTCCATTATTTCATGTCCCTTTTGTGTAAAAAGAGAGACTGAACTCTGAATCTTTAGTTCTCGCTGCCTAGTTCAGTCTGTGATGCACCAAGTTTCCTCTTAGAAATGTAGAATGGAATAAAACCAAAAGGTCCACACCTTCCTAGCACAGCCTATCACCTACAATAGCATCAGTTGGATGTAACCTATCAAATATCAGGTCTGAGTACTAAATAGCAACACAATTTTCCACCTAGCTCAGTTTTAAAGTTATATTCTTTGGTAGATCATTCAAGGGTGCTAGGAATGAACCTATGTATCTAGATTAGTTGATAACTTTTTTAAGAAATCATGAGGATTGTAAGTAGAGTTAGCAGAGTTAAAGAAAAATACAGACTCCCATTTTTTTTTAAGACAGTCTTGCACAGTTGCTAAGTGACCAGACCAGGCTCACACTCGTCATCTTCCTGCCTCAGCTTCCCAGAGTGCTAGGATTGTAGGCAAGTGCTACCATGCCAGGCTAATATTGAATAATCTTTTAATATACATTAACCTGTAAAAGCTTGGAAAACACACACACACACACACACACACACACACACTATATATATATATATATATATATATATATATATATATTCTCTATCTATGTTTCAGATTTATCTGGACATCTTGTATTTTACTTGGCAACTTGCTATAAAGGCTGTCAGAGGTCATTCTCAGGTTCTGTACTGTTGGGAAGAAGAGACAGAAGCATAGCACCTGAGCAGTGTGTGAGGCAGGAACAGACAATAAAGGAAAACCCCTTCCCTCCTCCATGAGCTGCAAATGCTGCTTCCTTCTCTTGCTGCTCCTGATCAGGGAGACTTGTGAACTACAGCTCCAACATCACTTTATAAATCATTACTCGCTTCCTGTCCATTAACATCACCAAACAGCAAGGGACAACTCGTAAGCTATTATCCTGCAGTCAAACCCTTGCGTCAAAAACATTAGCTCACCAAGAATCTTTGGACATTTCAAGGAAGGATTGCTCTTCCTGAAATAATCCTAAATCTCCCTGCTATTATCACCTCTTCAAATTATTTAGCCATAAATACTCTGATTTATCTTTTTTCTTTCACCACATCATTGCCACCTAATCAGTTTCCAATTATGAGCATTTTACTTCATTATCTTCAATAAAACAAAAAGCAAAAACACCAGAAATGATCAGCTGAAACATATAAAAAATTCAAACCATGAGGACTGCTCTTCAGAATCTTACTAGCTGCTAAAGATAAAAAGAGAATAAAAATATCCCTTTGTGAACCAAGGTTGGAAGTCTGGGGAATTTAAAATGGATTTGGAAACACCAGTGAGTCCTCTTGAACTACCGTGGATACCTGATGCCTACTCACTGCACAAGAATGCCATCTGGTGACAAGCTGAGCGGGTTCTCTGTGCCCTTGATCCCAGGGCCATGGCATCGTGAGCCAGGACACAGAGCAGATGCAAACAGGGTGGATTTTATCTTGTCATCTGGGAATTTGGGGTTGAGACTAAATTAGAACTCAGCCTCTTGAATATGGTTGTAAATTGGAGAGCTGTCCAAGAATTTGTTCTACATGAGGTCTGGAAACATGGAAAAATGCAGCCCAAGAAGAAAGGAAAATAGACAGTGAAAGAAGAGACAGCAGCTTTTTCTCTTCACTCAATCATTCATGTACTCATGCATTTTTCATTTTACAGTAAATGTCAAATAGTTATAGAGTTCAGGAAGGGAAGAGCAAAGGAACAAAAGTCTTTGTCCAAAACTAACAATAAATAAAATAATTAAATAGAAAAAATAATATATGTCATACAAACACTAAGAAAATTAAAAAATGCAATAGAAATGTAGCACAGTTTCAAATAGAATGTGGTCAGGAAGGCCTCACTGAGAATGAAACTTTTCAGAGAAGTTTCATTTCTGAGGGAGGTTGTATCGGTCAGCTTTCCACTGCTGTGACAATGAAAATAAACTTGGAGGAGGACAGGTTTATTTCAGCTTCAGAAGATTCAGTCCATGGTCAGCTGGCTCAGTGTGTTGGGCCTGAGGTGAAGCAGATTATCAAGGCATTGAACGCATGTGGTAGAGGAAGCTGTTCACCTCATGACAGCCAGAAATTAAAGAAGAGAGAGCATGAGCCAGGGATCAATGACAAAAATTTACCCTTCAGAGGCACATGCCCAGGGACCTGCTTTTTTCCTACTAGGCCTCACTTCTAAAGTTTCCATGTCCGGGGGCTGGGGGTTTAGCTCAGCGGTGTAAGTGCCTGTTTGGCAAACACGAGGTCATGAGTTTGATCTCTGGCACCAAAATAAATAAATAAATAAAGCTTCCATGACCTGCCAATAGTACCACCAGCAAGGAACCAAATCTTCAACATGTGAGCCTTTAGGGGACATTTCATATACAGACCACATTGGAGTGGACACCTTGAGGGGAGATGTTTCAGTGCTTTGGAAGTACCTTGAACTCAAACAATTAAAATAACCAACTACCCAATCTACAATATAAAGTACATTTACTACATCCTCTAGATGGAACACCAACTTCTCTTGTCTTGGGTGAGCAGCCATCAAACATTCATCACATGTATATTGGGTGGTGTCAGAACAAAGACCAATAAAATGGATCTAGAGTAGTGAGCTCAGATGTGAGCAATAACAAGGGTACCATGCAGAAGAAGGAAGGCCGCTGAGTGTGCA